ATGGTTCTCCTCTCCCTTATATAGCTCTCACCAACAAGTACAAGGTGATAAGATCTAATCCCCACCATCCATACCACTCCTAGTGGATGGATGACGTGGCGGATAACCCTAACAAGCACACGGATCGCTGACGTGGCGCACCCAACTAACACACTCAATCCTTACCTACAAGCACACGGATTGCTGACGTGGCACTGTCAACTAACACATCCACTCTGTACCTACCAAGTGCGCGGATCGCTGACGTGGCAGCTATGACTAGTGCACACTAAAGTATCTACATCAATATTCAGAGTAACCTCTACTTTAGTTCTAACTAACTAAAGATGGTTACATATAAGTAGTTAATGATCTAACAATGACTAGTAATTAGTAATTTTACCAAAGTTAACCAAGAGCTCAGTTATTTATCATCCAGACCATATTTATTATCCATTTTCAAAATCAGTTTATTGAACTATCTTTACTATAAATCATTTTTATATGAGTTTGATAACAATAAAACTTTATATAATCAATGTCATCTCATTTTAGTTTGAAGTTTTTGCTTCAACATTTTGTTTGAAGATAGAATGTTTTTACAATTTGTTAGTAATCTCACGTTTGAAATATAAAACATTTCCATAACATATTATAACACATAAAATGTTTGAGTAATTAAACATATATTTTGTACGTTTTTTGTTTATCTAAATTTCATTAAAGAAATACACATGAAATATAAATATCAAAACACATTAAAAAATTTCTTTAGATGAAAATTTTCAAATTTTAAGAAGTTCAAATAATTAGAAAATTTTAAGAAAAATCAAAATTTTGCAATTAAATAAAATTTTTAAATCATGAAAAGCTAAAAAGTATTTTGTTATTAAAATTAAATATATTTGTTTCAAATCAATCAAATATAAATATATAATTCATCAGCACGTCAATTGTTATGTGTTATATATATATGATTTTATTATAAGTAGTAGCTATATGCATAATGGCTAGTTTAAAATGACACAAATGATATTTACATCTTGAATGCAATGTTAACACTGCGATATTGCTATTTGAAAACAAAATTTATCTTGTTAGAATATTAAGCTACTTTTCAAGTTGCATTAGGCTGAATATCATGGTTTAGTCTTAGGATTAACATAATACCATATTGATCATTTACACTTTAGTCAAAATTAAATGAAATTTTTTTTATAAATAATTTTTTTTGCATGAAAATATGATAAAATAATTTTTTTAAAAGATACAAAATCATTAATCTTATATTTCAATAATAATTATTTTTTAAAATTTTATTTTTAATAAATTTCTGACTTCAAATATATGCAATTGAACAAATATTAAGAAAAGTAATTGAACTGTTCACACATACTTTAGATTCATCACAGCCTAATGAATAAATTCAACAGATAAAGAAAGGAAAAATTTTTGAATTTGAAATAATTTCTAACACAAGTATTTAAATTAGAAATCAAGTATTTATCTAGTATACATTGTTTTTGTACATATGGATACATTTCAAGTTGTGGAATGATTTTTGATACAAACTATAGCAATCAACTAGACAAATTTGTAAGTAGTGAAAAATTTAGTTACATAGATTATATTTTTTCTTAAGTGAAATTTGAAATACAAAGATTTAAATGAAAAAAATGATAATATTATTAGTTATATAAGATATTATCAAAAAATTGAAAGAAGTAAAAATTAAGCAAATTAATTTTATTACATAAGAAAAAGGAGGGGCTAATTATCTCTCGGTTTGAGCTAATTATCCCTCACCCTACTACACTTTACACAATAGAGCTTTGTGATCGGTTAGAGCTATTTTACTTCGTGATATAGTCTTTGAGAGAAGTAGTGCACATTACCCTAGGATGAGGTATAATTAGCCCAAACTGAGATATAACTAGCACCTCCCTAGAAAATATTTAAATTCCATACACATATACTTTTACGTATCAAATTTATCAAAAATAAATAAATTTAAATGTCATATGTTTTATTCATATTAGTTTATTCAATAAACATCAAAGCAATTTTGATTCATGAGTTTCTGAATTATGGTTTGTAATTTTGTATCTCAATATTGCAAACAAAATCTTAACAAAAAAATATCAAATTATACAGAGGTAAAAAAATTCATTTTCTTGAATAAATTCATAATCTATGTCACAACTTGCAAAAAAAATTCTTGCTTGCAAACAAAAAAAAAATATATTTTCATATCACAAAAATTGTCAGTTATTTATTTATTTATCACTTAAAAGAGCTACAAAATATTTCAATCATATATTTGCATTTTAATTCAACTGTTTGACTTGACTTGAATACTTGTTAATTTTTATTTTTTATCTTTCCTTGTAAATTAAGCAAAACTTTTTTCTACTTGCAAATTGTTGTCTACATGACTTTACATGAGAAATATTATATAAAACAAAGCTAATAGTAGCTGAGATGGCAGACTTTGTTCTACAATATAAGCGCTTGTATTGATTATAAAACATCAACAAAATTTGACAGACTACTGCTTTTTCTTCTTCCTCTTGAAACTTTACTTGATTTTTTTCTTTACTTCAGCTACAAAAATCATAATTGTTAAATAGAAAACATAAAATTATATACTGACTTTCTCTATTAAAATGACATATAAAATGAATTTAAAGGTAATTTTATTTCTTTCCAAAACAAATTGATATACATGATAAATCACAATTTCATTTGTTTCCATCATTTATATCAAAGCCGCCTATTTTATTAGTCATCACCACATCTTTAATAACTTTTAATCAACTTCTAATTATCACTTAAAAAATTTAAATCAACTATTTCCGTCTTGCTGAGATAAAACTAGATGAACTGAACTATGTTGCCTGCACAACCAATACAATTGGTGGACGTAATCCTCCACTCTCGTGGAGAAGTTGTAATTCAGAATCATCTTTGTGAGCTTTATGTTTAATCATGTTATGGCCCTACATCTGTTGCAATTGATACAACAGATTTCTCAGGTTATAATGGATCAAATACATTATCATCCTCGCCTTATTACTCTCATGTTCATTGTCATGATGAATGATCAAACTTTGTTCTTGATCTAGAAGAATTTGTTCCAAGTTGTTGCTTTCCAAAATATGAAATAACCTTTACATGTTGAATAATAAATTTGTTGGCCAACATCTCATCCGTATATCCCATGTTGATGTGCACGAGTCTAAAAAACATTTCTCTAGCAAAGTTGTGTACTTTCTTAGACCAAACTTTTTAACTTTTAGCCAAGACTTTGTTCACTTTCTTTTTTAATTTGAGACTCAAAACCCATCTCCAGCATCTAGTCTACTTGAAATAGGTAAGTCACTTTTCACATACTCATTTTTTTCAACTCCAAACATTATTAAGTCTATTTGGAGCGACTTTACAATATTTTTTCCGCAATATTATATGGTTGCATTCCAAATGAAGGAAAAAAAAAGAAATAAATATCTTCGAGTCTTCCCTGATCTTTTCTTTGCTATAGCAATAATGTCCCCATGATAGAGCGCAAGGGATCAGGATCCGTTTGAATATGATTGGGTGATTGAACCCTTGCTTTTTGTAACTTCTTGAAAAGTTTGAAAATTTTTCTATTTCAAAACTCATGAGATAAGATACATCATTTGCAAATGCGGACAACACAAGCATAACTTTTGTTTCATAGAGGAGATTAAAAGTGATTCATTTTGACATCCTCAGCTAGTAAATATATTAAAGCACTACACCTGTCTTAAGACCTATAGCCTGAATATGAAGGTCACAAACATGACGACGTATGACTTTGACCTACGTATTGTTGATATAGAGTAGAAAGACAATAGCCATCTCAGTACCTATGGAGTGAAACAAGATTGGGTCCATCTACATTCAGGGTGAAATCCAGAAGAAGAAAGATTCATGGAGCTGACTCTGCTAATGCGCGGGATAGTCCAATAAATAAATGACTAATCAGAGACTTTTTGGCGGTTGATGGAGGCGACTGCGGGATTGGAGCAATAAACATTAGCGATAGAGCAGAATGAGTGGAAGGCATAATATACCTACGCCAAAATCTGTCATATCAATGAAGCCGTGATCAAGTTTAAGGATTGAGAAGAGGAATGCTTGCCCTAGCAACTTAAAGATATCAGTTGACATCTCCCCCAGATACAGGTCAAACGACCTCAACAATCGACGAACGTTCCTTGCAATTTAAAGCTCGGATAATTTTCTTGCCTGGTCCGACGATTTAGAGACAGAATGAATGAAACGGCTTCGTGAGGTTATGAGCTCTCCTGTCGAATCAAGTGAAAAGTGACATGAGTTAAATTGAACTATCAGGCTCAAATCCAAGAAAACGTAGCGAATCCGTTTGAAAGTTGCGTAGCACGGTCATGAGTTGCACACATAGTCCTTGATGTAATCGCTTGTTGATAGACGAAGCAAAATGATGTCCTGTAATTCATATATTGACCACTTTTCAGTAGACATGATATTTGAACCACTCTAAGATGTCGAATTCGTGATATCTTAAGTGAATTCTAGAAGTCGTGAATCGAAAATTTGCAGATGGAAGTTATTTTTATTGTGCTCAAATGACCTTGCAAACTTCTGCAGATAAAAATCAATGTATCTTGGATCCCTCATAAGGTCTGGATGCGATGAAAGATGTGTCCATATGAAGTATGTGAAAGACATGTGAGGTTCAAAGCATGATGATTGATTTCATGCCAATCTCTTTTCAGGTAATGGAATAAGGTTTTACAAGTGAAACTAACATAGCGAAAAATTATTTATTCCTTATGAACATGAATTAGAATTTTCAGGAGGATTTATTGATTGTATCTGACTTCGCTAATCAAGAAAACTATATAAGAGGGGCAATAAGTAACTCCTCGAAATGAACCAATAATGCGTCGAAGATGTGAACAATGCGTGAGTTCTCTGGTGACATAATTCTCGCTATACGACGTGATTATCCATCTCTCTGCACTGTAGAGGCAACTGTGCGAGGCATATAGGAAGCACAGAATCCCAACGCAGCAAAATATAGTCCAATGATGCCGGCCGAACGAACGGAAATACCGTTATGATGTTGAATTGGTCCTCAGCTCGAGAGGTGGTACTCTCGGTGCACATCAGTGGCAGAAGGAAAAATCAGAGGCAACGTGGCAGGAGATTGAAAAACCTCTGTCAGCCGGTGGTTCGGTTGATTTGATTTCTCCCACCAGCCATCATTGGCACAACCATTATTTGTAATCCAGCGTCTAATCAGCGGTAGCCGCAGTTTAATACGACGCAGGATATGGCCTGGACGCCTTCACCGGGTGGAGTTTTACCTGTGGCTAGCACAACCTGTAGTATGAAGAATCCACCCATTTCGCAGCCGTGATGGAAGGGGCTGGAATCGTGAGCCTCATTAACGAAATGAGCAACACGTTTTTAATCTGTTGGACTGCGATTGAGCTTCGTTTGTGTCCGCGTCTTGTCGTTCCGGCATGGCAGAATTTGAACGAACTGCACGCCTCAACGATACAGGATCCGACAAAAGGGATCAAGTTTTTGTATGCTTTCCCACGATCCCTTGGCCTGGTGACAGTCGGTGGCCATGGTCTCGATCATTCCTGCGCAGGACACACGTCCACTTGGCGAAGCAGTGTCCCGAGCTCGAGCATGACGCGATGAAATATCCTCTCCAGGAGCAGCTTACCGATCCCATCGCCCCACGTGCGCTGTTCACCTGACACAGTCCTAGACTCCCGACGATTGGGCCTCGAACGCGGAATCAGATCTGATATTAATTTTCTGATACTCTCAGAGAAAGTAACATTCGCATTGTGCTCACGTTTGGACAAAAGGTGTGAGACTTCAATTTTGTAGACCACACTAATCTGAAGAAAGCTAGTCTAAGGATCGGTTTGACAAAAGAACACACGCCGATGGGGGTTCGGAGAATGTTTTTAAGACTCATAAATGTAAGGAAAATGTGTCGAGGCTACTTGGTCGTCATCATCAATTCTCACAAGCTTGTACAAGATCTGGAGAATTTGTGGAATATTTAAGTAAAACTTAGTAATAAAGCCAAAAATACGAGAATCTTCCACTGAGTATCACATGGACTAAACCAAGGGACTAGCCTCAGTAGCATCACAAAGCTGAACGTCATAAAACAACTATATGATATATGAATCTTTACCTTGAAGTTATAGTACACTATATGTGCATTCTAAGAAGCATCACTTAAAGAGATTTCATGTTCTAAAAAATGCATGAATCCTTTCTTTATGTAAGGAGCTGTTTAAAAAATATCTTAGGGAATATGATTAAAATATGATCTATTGCACATGTCAAATAGTATCAATATTGCATGGACATTGTTTCACTCGGATAACACTTTAACACATGGTCATAGAGTATTACTTATTGTGAGCTGCAATTTCTACTCTTCTCCTCATTCATATGCATTATAATGTAAAAGAATTGATAATATTTATCCAAAAATTTTCATAATTCCGAAAAAAATTTAATTTTCTATAAATAATTGCTATGTGATATTGTTACGGTGTCTTTATTTTGATCTGTTTTATTTTCATTTTTAAAAATTCTTTAAGGAGCACATTTTAATGAGACGATTTATCAGCATGCTATACACAGATTTTTTGTACTAAAGGCATAAAAAATTTACATCGATTCCAATTGCTTTCAATTTTTTAGAAGAAGTTATCCATACAAGCTTTATAGCTTTCTAATTGGATATGAATTTTTTTTTAGTTTGATAATATTGTGATCCAATATGGATGTCAAAACTAGGTAAAATGAACCAAGAAAGAAATGAAAGAAATGGTTACTTTGATATGTCGAAACTTTCATAACACTTTCAAAATGATGCTATCACAATCAAATTCCAACTTTTCAATTTTGAATATCTTATCAAGTGCTAACCATCTTAGTGAATTTAATCTTTGAGAATATCCTTATCTATGCAAGTCGAAATCGATTTTGTCTCGATCTTGACTAAATTTTTTTTTCTCCTTGTTCATTATTGATTGTACTCTCTACGATTAATGAAACTTTGAAATCAAAAACAACGTTGATCCTTTAAACAAGATCGATTTGACAACATCCTCAAAAGAAAATGTACATCCCTGCACAACCTAGTGAACTCCCAATAAAACTTCAAAAATTTGACCAAATATCATATACTGTTCAAGTGTATGATTTGTACTCACAATACATGGATTTATGATTTACCCTCTCAAACTAGTTCAAAATGGCTTATTCTTCAATGACTTCATACTATGTCAATGCTATTTCATCTTGTCATGTCAACTTCAACACCATATACTTGATAGCATCATGGATAATTTTCATATGTTTATTAAAACTATAAGTAACATATGGTTCGTTGCATGTGAGGTAAAATCAAATGTTCTATTTATGAAATTTTAAATAGTTGTATTAAGTCAACACAAATAAACGATTTAGTTAGAACAATGCTCTAAAAATTACCTATGTTCTTCAGAAACCTAGTGGGTGGTACAAATCCATTAAAAGATTTTATGATGGAGTCTGCTGAGACTCATGACTGATCTTGTATTATCATCTTTAACCTTTTTCATGACATTTGCTCAACACATCGAGTCATCAGTTCGTATTTTTGTTTTCATGGTGGCCAATCGGTTCACAATTGCAGCTATAATAGTACGTACGGTAAAATCAAAGATAAGGAGATAGAATTGGGTATATAGACTTTCTAAAGATCAATTATTATTATTTCCTTCCGCAAAATAAGTACTCTTTAATAAGAATAAATTCTTAAATTTTTAATAATTATATACGATTTTCCTTTAAAATTGTATGCAGTGTGACTCATAAGTCAATATAACCACAAATAGCTTATACAGTTTGAATCCAAGTACAGGTCATTTAGTGCACGGAGTTTTAGGAAGCACTGGATTTCTGTCATTTCTAGGTGACGCGATATATTATGTATATACTCACCATCGCATTGGGTAAAGTTTAGATCGCAAATACAAATTAGCCCCAATGTTTAGACCAGCAATCCTTTCGACTGAACTTTGGGTTTAACTCCTCGAGTTATCGGCCTAGGCTGCTACAAACTTCATTTCTTAACGGTATTTCTTGGGGAAATTTGCTTGATGGGACCCATACGTTCCATTTTAGCCTATTGGACCCATGGACATGGTCGGGTCACCGTCAATTATGTTCTTGTAACTGATTTGTTTTCATTTAATGAAAAATAATAATTTCTTCCCGAATTTAAGTTAGTAATATTTTCTATGGCTCCCAATCTTCATCATGGAAGAGTCCAATTTCTCACGTCCCATAATGATTTTACAGTTATAATATATACACATAATCTACTCACTCGTTACTTTTTTTTTCTAAAACGTTTGATCAAAATCATGTCAGTTACGTATTTTGGTCCCTGAAATGCATTTCACTTTTCAACAAAGAGCCTAAGTGCTTTTCCTAACCCGGATTGAAAGGAATTACAAGAACTCGCAGTAGAACATCGGTGAATGTGGATTGAAATGCCATAGGAAAGGTCCCATAGGGTAAAATGGAACTTCAAGGGTCCCATCAAGCAGTCAATGTTCTGATGTGGTCCCATCAAGCATATTTTCTTGTATTTCGTGAAGGGTTCTAATACGAGGCTTGTTAGTTCTCTGATGCAAGGTGTCAAAGGCTGAGTATGATTGTGAGGCGTTGATGTAAATTACGGTGAAGAATGATAGGACTCTTTATGTCGTGTGTGCTTGTGAGCTATTTATTCTTTGTGTTGTGCTTGAAAATGTTCTCCACCATGACGTAGCAAATTTCCAAATGGCCACTCGTGGAGGAACACTCACGCACGTGCCATACTGGCGGGGAAGGTTGGAAGCCCCAAACCTGTTTATGATCTATAAAAGAATTAACAACTGTAGTGTTACCTCCTTCCGAAAAGGAAGAGACACCACATTTATTAAATCCCCAAACCTGTTTATGATTTAAAAAGAATTAATAACTTTAGTGTCACCTCCTTCCGAAAAGGAAGAGACACTACAATTACTAAGTCTTTCCTCGATCGTTATAACTCTCGAAACATTTTGGCTGGCCTTTACCTTCCAAACCCCGAGTGGAAATCTGGAACTGACCTCAAGCACGCGGCTCTCCACGACCCTCCGTTTCTGAAGTTCTTCATCTCAATGGCACACATGAAAGGAGAAGTAAGGTTGTGAGATTTAGCGTGACGTAACGTCAAAAAGTCTCATCATCCGTGAGGAAAAAGTTGCACTGCCAGTCCCACAAGCTGAACAGCTTAATAAACTGCGCTATGCGTCGAGACGGCGACAAAGAATTAACAGGGATAAACGCAATTGGTCTGGGGTTGCCCAACCAACTATTGTCAGTAAGCCTCTCAAGTGTTTTGCTCTTTTCTTCTTTTGTATGTTTTAGACGCAGAAGATTTGCTACTGCTGCGGCAGTGTCCAAAGGAAGCTGCAGAGCAAGCAAAAACTTTGGGATGTGGATGCTTCTTTATTTATGCCTGCTCAAGTCTCGTTAATTCTATCTTCGCCCAGAAATATCGGTCTCATGTACACCTGTGAAACATGATGTCTAGGATCCACCCTTCTACTCATAACTTGCCAGTGAACTTTATTAGATTGAAGGATTAAACAAAATCTACAGAGACAAAAGCCAATCAACGCAGTCCAAAGGCAAAGCTTGATCTTATGTGACCTGCGATAATGTTATACACTGTTGACCCCAGGCAAAGGGCTCTTTCTGACATGAAGTGTTGGTGAAGTGTGTAGGGCGGACAGTCGGAAAATGATTACAAAAGCACTCGCAGAGGTATTCAGCAGCTGACAAAAGGAAACACGAAATAATCCAAAATGAACTTGGTTTGTTTACTGCGGTTGTTGTGGTGGCACTCTTGGTGTGCCCGGAACGATGCCCTTTAGATTCATGAACTCAAGAAATTGATAGGGAAGCTCTGCCAGGAGCATTTTGGCCAACTCCGAGCCCTCTGCAACAAGACAACCCAGAGATTAAATCGATCACCAGAGCAAAAGTGTACTTCGTTACTTATCTAAATATCGGAAACTGGAGTAAAATGAAAAGCAGCTGTGGTGTGATAGTCGTGCAGTAAAAGGCCAGTACACATGCATTTTGCAGGTCATGATCGAGTGTCCGAGCAAGAGATACTTCTAGGTTGGTGTCACTTACTCTCCATTTTATCCATCGGAACAAACTGGACGATGTCTCTGTGGGCCGCTCTACCATCTGAGGTTTGCAATCTCTTCTTATCTGCATCTAAGGTCTGCGCAGTAAAGAAGGTACAGCTGTTAACCATGGTGACCACTTCCAAGCCGGAAGTCACATGAAAAGTTTGGATAACTAGGAACGAATGATGAATTTCCCTACTTCCACAACAAACTGAACAAGGGAAACAATCCCCACACGCGCGTAATGAAGCGATTCGCTCGACATTACAGGTTTTTCTTGAGGGGTTACAGGTATTGCAGACTAGCTGTGATTGCAGAAAGCTCAACTCATGCAAAGTAAGGCTCGCAAGGGCCGAAGGGAAGATGAAAAAAGACAAGAAAACCAACAGAAATCTTTCCTTCCTATAACACAGATTCAGAAGATTTAGGTGGAGAGTTGAAAAACATTGGCCAACCTCCATTTCAGAGAAGTCCGCTCCTCCTACTCCAATGATGAGCACAGACAGAGGCAAATTAGAAGCGTGTACCAACGCATTAATGGTCTGTTGAGGATCAGTAATCACACCGTCCTGCCATCATTGAAAATGAAAATTCAGTGGAGTCTGCTTGAAGACTATTCCTCATGAAAATTTCATGGGACTTAATGAAGCCTCTGATTCATCCTTCTTGCTATTCAAAAATCCCGCACTTCCAGGCGTTGACTGAAAATTGACATTAAGGACCAAACAATACTAACCAATCACGGTTCATTTATGATATGGCTGTGACAGAAACGCGAAAACTATCTAGGACACGCACTCACCGTGATTATTAAAAGTACGAAATACTTTTGATTTTCCTGAGACACAAACTGAGATGCGATTGAGGCAGCCATATTTATGACCGGAGCGAACAAAGTTGGACCAGCCAACGCAACATGACGCAAAGCTTGGGAGTAGGCGTATAGGATTCCACTGACACCATCGACCTGCTTAATGTATTCAGGGGAAAATTCTTGCTGATTAGCTTACCATGAAAATTAAATAGTGCATACAAATCTGATGAACAAGCGGTGATGTACCTAAGAGGAGAAAAAGGTCGATCCTCCTCTCATTGCCAACCACTTAGAATACAGAAACACAGTTCGCTTTAGTCAGGCAATATGTCGTTGTCGCGTTGTATATAGAAAAGCAGAAAATGAGACGAGAAATCAATGGCAGTGCTAAAGGTGGAGAATAAGAAATGATTAGATGGCAGTCAAAACTACCGTAAAGCTCAACAAATTTCAAGTAACGGAAGGAACTTTGTGCTAAGATGTAATTATCTTCTCGCGAGTGAGAATATCCAAGGAAAAGCAAAGTTGTCAAAAAATATGATTTTGAGGGTAAAAACCTCTGCAGCTTGTTGATTTCCATTCAAGGCAAAACAATGAGAAACGGGTCCGTCAATTGGTCGGCCTCCAAATCCCCAAGCTGGAAAACGCTGGTCTGAATCATAATGCTGAAGCACCTCACCAACTGCCAAAATGGACTGCAAATAGATAGAACTCTCAGCAAAAAACTTAAGTGCCCCAGACTTAGCAAGCAGAAAAGGAAAACTGAGATACTCATACATAAAAACAACTACGTCGAAAGGCTATTTGGGTGACAGTGGAATTCGAGAATTCCAAAAGGATAGGCTAGCAGCAAACTCACGAACTGATCTAAATGCGAAGAACTTACATCTAACTAACTCAAGTCAGACCTGGGTTCTCTGAACACATTTCATTTGGTCTTCTCTGAGCTTAATAAAGAGAGTTCGACTTGTGGAATAAAGACATTATTTCTACCTTGCAGAATACCATATCTACGCTAGTTCTGTGTTTCCTACAAAAACATCGGGAAAATACTCATGAGATTTCTTTATAGATTCTATATATTTCAAAATACTTACTTCTTGTTTACAGAACAGACGGCCTACTGTTCACACAGTAATGGATCCATTTCACTGCCATCATCGTGACTACTCATCACTCGAAAGGCAATCAAAGTTAGAAATACTTACTTGTTGATACTTATTCGGCCTTCCGCTAGGGTCAGCATAGTGCAATGAATCAGGTTGGAAAGGACTCCCGTTCGAAGCTATAATGCATAAAAACCCCGATCAATAGAGTACTTGAAAAAGTCAATATGCATCGATAAAAGCAAACACGACAAATCTCCAAAATCGTAACACTGTTTGGAATGTCTAGTGCCCGAACTAGAGGGAGTTTTAGTCCTGATTCGTTATGCACAAGAGTAACTCTCACCAGTGAAGTCTACGGCAACCATGAAGTTGATTTCACACCCCCCAACAATGTAATCGAGAAAACTATGGTAGGGCGATATTGTGCATGATTTAATTCTCAGCATCCCTGTATTCTGTTGACAAGGACGATAAAAAGGTCAGGGGTGTACATGAAGTTCAGAACCATTGGTTGTGAGGCAGGTATAACGAAGCCTATTGGAAGTGAAGGATGAAGAGCATCCTCTCGAGCTTCACAGGTCGGTTTAATATTTCATCAGAAATTCATCCAAAGTAGAACCCAGACATCCAAGAACTGAACGTTTGCTGTTCGGTTTATGAGCAAAAAAATCACTGTACAGTGGCGTCAGATCAACAGCCATAAACCTCTCAACCTTTTGCCTCACAGACCAAGCCACGAAACTGACAACAGACACATTGGAGTAGGCGTAAAGAGAGATAAATGTCGGAAATACCAAATACAATTCTTCATATACTTGATTATTTCTCGCTTATAAACTCTTCACATAGTAGTAAACATTGATTCCTCCTACAAACGGCAACATCTACTAACTTGTATTGACAAAGTACACTTCTAGCAACAACTTGGCCTGGTGAGTGTTTCAGAGGTATTAGCGAAACCGAACCTTCAACGCGTGTCCATGTGACATGTGGGGTCCATGTGACAACCGCTGGAGTTGAATGGTTTCCTGCTTATCGAAGTGTTCCATAATCTTATTCAGTGAAAGTTCGGCAAATCTGCACATTGAAGAAAGTCCAGTTCAGATCAGTTCGGTCAAAATTAAATTTGAGAAAGTGCAGTGCGAGAAACTAAATAGATAGTGAACAAATCACCCACAAATGTCTAGGAAGGGCTGAAGAAAAAAGCTGAAGATTCTAAAAAAGGGACCAGCTATTCAAGGCTCAAAGCAAACTGTCAAGGCCATAACGACGAGCCCTTTTGCAGTTTTTGTGGGCAAGAAATAATTCAATCACAGAAGAAAGTGACTGCGTAGTTCCTCGTTCCTACTGAAAACAGTTTGTGATATTCCACAATCCACTCGAATGTAACTGAGAATAGTGACAACTCACCCAATGAGGTCCGCCTTCCCACTATTGTTAAAGTTCCAACAGTCAATTCTCAAAAGCCGGTTCTGCAGGCGAAGTGTTGCGATCAAGATCAGCTATAGCAGTAGCAGCAGGATTTGATAGAACACACTCGGTAAAGTAACGTCACAATAACAACCATATGATCAATCCGATCCGTTCACCAACTCTGAACAAATTGAGAAGTCGCTGAAGACATTCTCTTGGCCTCCAAATAATTCGACACAATAATTTGGAGGTCAGGAACCCCAGTAAAGTCGTAAAGTAACTTAAAAGCCATCCTTGTTCTGAATCAACTAATTAAAAGTTTCAATCTTAACCATTGCGGCTGTCCCCTACCACATAGCACACACCTTATCACCATTGCAAAGTTGTGCAAGTGTAACTTTGATGGGCTTCCATTGAGGATCCAGATTATTCTTCTGCACCTCCGTTCTGAAGGCTGGAGTAGTCTGTCCGTCTTCTCGTACTCGTGAAAACACCAAGAAAGGGTCCTGCACAAAGACCGCCCAGTATACAGTACTATGAGGTGGAACAGAAAAAGTCAACTTTTTAAACGTGTTAGTTTATTGTTCTAAACTACGGAGCCTGTGCTTCAAAATGGTAAGTGTGAACAGGGCCAAGTTGGTACCGGATGAGGTACAAGGATGAGAAGACCCCATCAACCCCGACAAGGATGAAACCGAGAGGGGACCCAGGGGCTAGGCCCCAGAAGTACAACAAAACGGTAGTACATTTGAAACGGCTGACCAGTAGCCTATGAACCACAATCCAGGACGAGTGAAGCAACATACATAGTATAGAATTTTAAACACGATTAGGATTTGTATTGACGTCCCTGTGTGCCTCAATTCTAGTAGAGATACATTGTTAAAGAATGGCTCGGTATCTGGGGTTGAACATCTAATAATTTCCCAGCTCACTTTTCATAGAGTTGTCTTCATAATGGTCACAGATACGGCTGTAGAGAGTTTCAGCATGAAAAAGGGCATAATACTCATTTTCTACACTGTCATTATCAATCATAAACATACCCATGCAAAATACAAAACACTACGATCCTTTAAATTACTTACGCTTTTGGAGAAGGTATCCCTATTCTCCAGCGCCTCTCCTGATATAACCATATTGACGAGAAATTTAATCCGTTGCAGCTCTTCGGCTCGAATCGTAAGGGTACCACAGTCTGGACCAGTTTCAACCTGTTCGTTTTCTCTTCTCAAAGCTTTTACCAACGCTGATCCTGGGGATGTGATTATCTGACTTGCCACCAACACAAACGTGTCAAATATCATGCGCTCTGTTGTGGACTGTCACGATAGATATTTGCATCACAAATTACAATAGTACTATCTCCTGAGAACTGGCGGAACAGCTGGAAGCTCTGGAAGTATTTGTATAAAATTTTGTTGGACAAGTGTGGCAAATTCAAGCTGTACTCATCAGTATGTGGCCCTCTCAGGCTGAAGACCATGGAACTCGCGCAATGCTTATTTAAAGAAGATCAGTGCTTGGAGAATACGGGACAGGAGTAGAAGAAGAACGACGGATGACTACTTGAGAGTGACGAGGATTTCTTGATTCTGAAAGTTCTCAATCAATGAAATTATTCTCCAGTCATCAGCCAAAAAAAGCTTTTGCTGGCTAAGCCACCTGAAGCTTACGACAGCCCTCATAGCTGTGACTCAAAAGTAACGTTGCTTTAGGTTTTAAAAGCAAGGCAAGTGATTTCCGTAATCAACTCGGAATCTGTCCGCATGCTACAGAAGTTACAGTCGCCATTCAAGTCACGAAATAAAAGGATTGCGTGATAAAGTAGCTGAAGCTGGAAAGGATACTGCAGATACTAACGAGAACCCACAAATGTGTAAGGGTAGATGCAAAAACGCAAATCATACATCGGGTTGTGTTAGCTATTATCTACAGGCAAATGCGTATGATTTGCCTGTAGATAATAGCTAACACAACCCGATGTAACTAATATAGCAAGAACGTCTGTCCCGCTCATCTTGGACCAAGCCGTGCCACAATAAAAATCATGATAGCGAGAAGAAAACAAGTTAACCTACCTCAGATAAAAGACAGTCTGTTTCTCCCAGGTGAGTTTGATTTTCTAGCTTTAATTTCTGCGCACCACCATACAAACGTGTAAGAATTAAACTTGATCACTATTCCAAAAGGTAAATCTCCTATATCTACGCAAGAAACAAAACAAAGAAAAATAAAACAAAAGCAGCAATAAGACGTCAAAAGGGCTCAAAATGCTAATTGATTAACGTCTTTGGTTCAGCTTAACGAAGAGACTACAGTGGATCTAGAGTGGATCGGCATCATACCTGTACAGGAACTCCACTGAATTTGGTATCTATGTCGTAGACTTTGAACCTGACAACGGCATCAAATGAAAGTCGTTTCTCAAAACATAACTGTAAGACATTTCCCTTGTGCCCTGATTACCGTAGTAAATTTTTCATCTCGCAAACATCAAAAGGTAGGAGTGCGTCTGCTGAATAGCTAACTCAGATCCTTGTGTGAAAACTGAGAACTTCCTACAATTCTATACAAACGGTCCCTAGTCAAAACATGACATACACTCTTAAGTTATAGAAACCGTCAACATAGCGCCTAGATGAAATTTTGTGTGAAATCCAATCGGTGGAGGTGCATTTAGATTGACTGAGTCGGTTTACTCACACTAAAGGTTGTATCTCCTCGAAATTATACATCATAGTCAAGTCCGTGATCCATTGTGGCTTCAGAGAGTTCAAGATGACTTCCGTCCGTCCTACTTCCTCGAGAGAACCATCTCTTTTCTTGATGTAGGCAACCAACATCGGATCACTCTGCATGTAAGCAGCTACAGAGTTCAGACATCCACCTCAGCGAATAACTGACATTCACATATTTTTCCAGTGCGGGAGATTAAACAGTAACTAGATTCAATTCACAAGGATTTCAACCTCTCCCTCAAAGCTTTCCAATATTCAGGATGTGACATTTCAACTCCTTACTGTTAAAAGGTCGAATTCAAATGTCCTCATAGTTATTCTATACTTGCTTCATTGATTAAGTTGTACATCTTAACGTTACGGCTAGGTTACATCCAAAGCATAAAACCTCTCTTACAAAGAAAGTTACCTTGGAAAAAATATCTTTGTTGCGTAGTTTGTCTGCTGAAAAAGAAAGCTGTTTCCAGAAATAACAGCAAAGCCATTTTAGGTCAGATACTATATCTGCAATTTCTTCAAAACAAATAGGCTTCTCCAGAACAGGTAAAGGCTTGAATCAACAGACATCAATCGATGGCTTCAAGGCAGCTCCATTGTTCCTTTACATAAAAATAAAAAACTTTAAAATAATTTTTTCCAGTGGCTCCAAGCGCGTGGTCATACTGAACCAACAGAAGTTTGAAAGTAAAAATTATTCTTCATATTATGGATTCTAGTCAAAATAAACTATGAAGGAGCATAGTACGATAAATATTGTAAGCTGTGTTTGTGGGGCGGGCGGTGGACATTAAAACAATGCAGTGTGGGAAGGTGCAGCAAAACTTGAACAAGAAAAAAATAAGGAGGGTTAAGGGATAGGGTGAAATTTTCCGGGGAATGTCCACAAATACCAGCAAGCTGCAGATTCTGCACTATTAAAATCACTAGGAGGAGATGTCACCTCAACTTGAGTACAATAGCCATGTGAACCTGTAATCTTCTCGACAGCCTCCATGACCTCCAGCCTCCCATCAACGACACCCTTCGATGGTGCCTCACCTACTGCTTGACGACCCCCCGCTAAATCCCCCCAACAGTTCCCCATCTTCTCTCTTCACCTTCAACTGCGAAGACATTTTCAATTCAGCTAGATGCCACAAAGGTGTGTCGCATTGAGAAGTTCAATTGACAGCATATGCCTTCGTTACATCGATGACACGATCTGCAACTCACATATGTGGATGTTGTTGGCCGGAAAGAATGCCAATCAGCCCTCTTCACGCCTCCTTATCACACGTTTACAGCTAAGCAAAAAACTTTGCACCCACATCAGAAAGTTATACCTGAACTGCACAACTCCAAACAAACGATTCGGAAGTCAAGTATTCCTCACTAAGCTCCAGATAATGTACAGGTGACACTAGATCGCTTGATACATATCCAGCAATGGGACTATCTAGTAGAGTTGCTCATTGCTCATTTGCTAGTAAATAAGCTCGTGCCTCCTTGATGATGTCTTCAAAGGACACGTCCATCACAGCGTGAAGAAGATCGAGTGAAGAGGTGAAAAAAAAAGCGCCATTGTCAGCCTCAGTACAGGGTATAACTTCGCATCCGAATGACAGGCTGATCAATCTCAAAAAAAGTTGCTGTTTCTCAAGCTATACACGTGATAACCTTTTTTTCTCGAGCTTGATACTCACATAAAGATTGACCAACGGTGAGAGCACCTTGAGGGAAACTCACGTTACAAAGTAAATATTTACATCGACTGGTACATCAGGCAGACACTTGGAAACAACGACAATGGGCTACAGGTTTTTTATATTCGAACTGGATGCCTACAAATGCATGGACGCATCCTATCGCAATTCTTAATGAAGTACACATGCTGACATTGAGCACTTCGTAGCACTGCAACTTAGGACGTAGAATAAAGGGGATCCACCATCGAAGAATAAATTTGAAACTGGGTCGTTGTGACAAATATATTTTCCCTGCTTCAAACTTATAAGAGAAAACGGAAACGTATATGTAACTTTCACTTTGCAAGATGTTACTCTGCGGGTCTGTAGAGTGCCTTCACGTCGAGTTATCGCATCCTTATGAATTTCCAATTATGTTGTAACATTCAGATTTCGCGATGTCATAAGATGAGGAAGGTTGTTAAAAACACAAGATTGCTTTGATGTATATACTTGGCGCATATGTAATTCTTAACATTACCTTCGACCAAATTAGACTCACCTCAAAGTCACAGTCTGGGGGTTTACACAGCTATCCTTTAGACTTGAAGTAAGAGAGGTAGGCGCTTGTCTACATCTAAGTGCACAAGTTTCTGCCGCGGATATGAGCAAGCATCAATCCTCTCTCAAACTTGTAATAAAAGCGAGTCAGTGAACATTTTAAAAACGCCATCAGAACTGTATTCAACCATAGACGATGCTTATATACGGGACTTTTTCTCCTTCAAGGAACTATGACGAGAAAAACACGATGTGGAATGGAAGAGAACGCCTAGATCACACTCGACCATGTCCGGAAAAGATACAGTCTTCACAGCATCATGTCTTGTAGCTAAATCACATACTCACGGAACTCGACTTGAATGAATCAGCCCCAGGGACAGGTGTAAAATAGGAAAACTCATGGGGTCTCAGTGCTTCCCACACCGCATCTAAAGAACACCATAAGTCAAACCTCATCACCTTGGAACCTACGATCAAAAAGGGGCGTCACAGTAGTTGCACTAGAGCTACCAAAAGTCCCCGCGGTACAACCGACCCACTCTGTAAGGCCTGGGTTTCGAAATCACGAAAGTCAGTGATTTACGAATATCGAGAGGGCGAGGCACTTACTCCAACAATGTCTGATACGGGTTGACACACTCACAATCCAGCGTTCAAGCCATGCGATGACCCTACACGAGGAACCAAATTTGCTACGAAGGAGCTCCTGTGCCTAGACTTGTCAAAGGACTTGGGGAAAGACGAGACGGACGATAAGCGCACCAATACAGAGTAATACCTGACCCAAGTAAACACGAACGTAAAGCTCTCAACCGATCCAGGGATCCTGCGGGTCTTCACTTCTGCTTCAAAGTTTTGACCGCAAGAGCCGGACCGAGACGAGCTGTTTCAGAAAAGGGCTGGACCTCTTTAAATTCCTTCCCCTCTCCGTCTCCCTCTCCGCGTCCAATACTCCAAAACTGGCACAGTCTCTGCGTGCCTGCCTGCCTGCCTCCCTCCCTGCCTTACGGGATGGGCACAAATGCGGCACTAACGAAAGAAGAATGGGATGTTAAGACTGTCACAAAGGTTAGAAGAAAGAGGACGGCGGGCAGCTGAGGAGCTTCAGTTCAAAGCGCCTCCGGTCAAATTGGAGAAACGGATCCTGCCCATCGAGACACATCACCAACCAGCACGCACCAGCGGGGCACAAGGCAGACACATCCTTTTCCCGGCCGGGCTCTCGTCTTCCAGTGGTCGCCTCTCTTGCTGCGCATCAGATAAAAACTTCCACTTCCTCATGCGTTGCGCTTCTGTCCGTTTCCCTCTTCGCTCCCCTCTGGCAGTACCTGTCTCCTTCCTCTGTCAACGCCTGCACTGCCTGCCCTGACCAAAATGCTGCTGCAGGCCTCAGCCTTCTGGTCGTGGTGGGTCCTCGCTGGGGCCCATGTCCGCCAGCATATATTTTGTCACAGTCGTGCGACTTGTACACTGCGTAGCACTTTACGTACTCGTACAGTATTCCCTCCCTACGAAATTCCTCCGTCTCCGTCTCCAATCGTTGTTCACTGTTTCGGCACTCCATTCCCACTCACATGCTCCATCCTTTCGATTCAACTTCAAACTTTGAATCCCTTGACCTCCTTCTCAATTGGAATATATATATATATATATATATAAGTGCTAGATTTGAAAGATTCACCTTTTGGGTTTGGACATTGAACCTTGCGTCCTCTAAGCAACAGTACACTAGGTATGGTTGAAAAAGTTGACACAAAGACAAAAATTGTATGATCTTCTCCATTAATGGATTCAGCTTTCTAACATTCTGACTCATGAATCATGACGAATTCCCATTCGATTTTTTAAAAAAAATCCTTTTAAGATATAGAAATTGGAAGTATGATTACATCAAGCTTGTTGGGCATTGGACTACTTCAACCATTCTCATTATCTCGAGCATATAAAGTAGAGAGTAAGTAATCAAGTACATAGATCAACCAGAAAGCAATCGATTTAGGTCAGCCAAGGTGGAGGCCTGAGAAGACGATTATCCAAGGTTTACCTTGTCCTTAAGTCAATGCGTTATGTATGAAGTGACATATTATATAATCCCTCACCTTCTTAGATAGACATAGATGCATGTAGGCACCGTCGAGATTTGTGCATCTCAACGGTGAGTGCTGAGCAGGAAGCGTCTAGAAAAGGATGTTTGTATTAGTATTGCATTTCTTCGTTAAATATACGCTGGCTTCCACATTCGAGGTACTTGCTGAAGCGAGCCATGATATCATGTGCTAAATGTAAGTAAAGGTTGGCACTCAATCAGATCGAGTCAAAATGGGATTGCTTTTTCCCCGAAAACGCGTACCCCTAACCGTCGTGAAGGATGACAAATTGATGAATCCCTCGAAACACGCATTCTGCACGGGTCTGAACAACAGTGAGAAGTGTTGTGCATTTGAGTTGGATTATTCCCACTTCATGGACTCTAAATTTACGACAGATTCTACAGGTTGTAAATATAATGAAATAAAATACATTCCAACAGAGACTATTCAAATCATTCATTTCCATTTAATTTGATGTCAACTCACCGTAGACTGGAAAATTGTGTCTGAGACAATTTGTTTCTTCTGTCTCTACAAAAAACGTAGACCTCCTAGTACTCCATGCCTTTAGATTATATACAAATGAGTATGGAGTGTAGAAGCAAGTTCACAAATCAGTTATCTTCTAAGAAGCTTCGATTGATAGACTTACTTCAAGATACTTTCATCTACTAAAGAGGGTATCACTTTATGATAGAGAAGTAGCTATTCTCCTTCCTCTTTTTAATGAAAACCACATCTGAAGCTTGAGATAAAAATTGAAATTGAGATTACATATATGTCTTCCTCCACCTGACCTTGGATAGATCTATTTACACCTGGTACTTTCTTGCATTAACGTCCTTTTTTGGATTGGTTCTATATTAATGAGGAGAAAAGTATTCGGTTGCCTTATGCAACCCCGTGAGGAGATTTTAATATTCAAACACAAGTCCAATGTAAAAATTGAAGCAGATTCCCATTAAATTTGAGATTCCAACCTAATCAAATGATATTTATCAACATAACTAATGGAAGAGAACTTGCTGCATACTATCAAAGTCTTCAATTTATATGACCAAAGTCAACACTTTGGTCCAAGCAAAAGTAGGATTGACTTCCCATTGAACAATATCCTACATCTGCGGACAAAATATCCGTACACTCCATAATAGTCTTTATGTGTCCAGAAGCAGTATGTAAAATATACATATCCATGTATGAAATATATATTTATTATAAATACGCGAGTTGTAAATTTCCAATTCACAAATGTCAGCAATGACAAAATATGTGAAGATTGTACACCTTGTAGTTTTCATTTAATTGCATTGAATTTTGAATGTATCTAGCCAGACTTTGTATGATGGTTCTGATACATAAAGAAAAACTATGTATATTATTTATATATGTTTATAAAAACCTTCACATGAAATCCAAAGTTTATAACCTCAATTTATTAGAAACAAATAATAGCAGGCATATTAAAAATTTAATGTAATAATAAAATATATTATATAGCATTAAGATTGTTAAATAGCATTTATCTTCTTTCTGACTATTTCATTTTGATTATATTAATAATATCTCAATATGTTGAGGAATCCATTTATTTTGAGTTATTTTCAATCATTTAATAACCATGTAGAATTTGCATATATATATTCGCAATGCTAAAGCCATTGTGAGCTATATGCACCATCATTCTGAATTTACTTCCAGGTGCTTGAAATTGAATGAGAAATAACTCGAACTATGAATATTTTGACATCTTACACATACATTGTGCACATTCTTCTTTGGCAATGAAGCAGTTAAAAGAATGACAGAAGAGATAATTGTTATAGAATAATGAAAGATGTTTATTTATTTCCACGAATGGTTTATCTAACTTTTAAATTGTTATCTGCTAATACAGATACAGTAGTCTGGTCAGTAGGCTAAACTCCCATGTTATCCTGTATTCGAACGCCCAAGGTTGAACCGTACGTTGTCTTGTAGGCAGAGTAGGAGCTACGTCATAGAGTCATTCCTTGCAACATGCGCAATACGTTGGACCAACTTTGGACAGCTTTCAGGCCTGGAACATGGAATGAGCCTTATGGACAAATCCTGTTCTGGCTGGCCATGAAGCTTTACAAGTTTGGAAACTACTTTGCAGAGCACATAGACAGTTTCAGATACCTTGAAAAAATCAGATGGCTTTATTTTATTGCCTCCACCGAACAAGCATTGTGTCAAATATCATGAGATACAGAAATAAAGTTGCCGAATGGTCAATAAGGATATGCTTAGAGGGTATAACTTATTCCCTTGGTTTGATCGGATGCACTTCAATTGGTAGGATGAATGATTACTATCTATTGTAGGTGCTTGGAGCCGGTCGTAATATACGGATACGTCTCGAACTCCCACATTGCACCTACTACTACTGATAACCGTATGGTTAATAGTATGGACTACACTTATTTAGATAGCGAGTACTACCTATTCCAGTTGACACCAATATTGTGCAACAGAATATTTTTCAGCAATTATACCTGTAAATTTACATTTCAAGTGCATAATCACTCTATACTGTACATGGGGGTTAGGAAATCACCGAAGCGCCAATATTTTATATCAATCAGTTTTCTTCTGAATTAAAATTTGAAATCGGTCGACGCACTCTTAATACTGTGAATTATTTCACATTCCTTAAAGTACAATTCACATAGTTCCTCAGTTGTGTGAACTCACTAATTGGCAATTATTCCTAAATAGTGTGTACAATTGGACCCAAATCAGCACTGTCAAAGTTAAACGCTTCGTCGTGAATCTCATCTTCCGGGACCACGGGAATGAGATAAAGCACCGGAGTTGCTTTATCCGGATACAGCACCGTTGGAAGTAGAAGCGTTTCTTACGGGTGTGAGGTCTGCTGTGTGGGAACTTAATAAGATTAAACATACTTGCAACAAATGTGTCTCATACTAATTATGATTTCTAAAAAGATAAAATGATGATTTCTTATGGTGAGTTCGTTACAATCCCTACTAATGTTTGTTACACGCCAGGTTTCAATCTTTTAGTACCATAACATATATCACCCTTCTAAAAGGAATTATACTTTGCACTCATACATCATTATGAATTCTAAGAGTTGAAGATCACCGGCGAATAACATTGTAAAATTAAGATTCACAAATATGTTTTTGATTTTTTTGTTGCAAATCGAAAAGATATATGATTATGATGCTAAAAAAATACATGATAATTTTATGAAACATGATAAGAAAATAAAAGATACATTGTGTTAAAAAGTATCATATATCAACATACAATACTACAATATATTTCATTAACTATAGCAAAATGTTTTAAAAAAATTTGAATGGTTCAATGGAACAACAATTGATTATAGTATATATTAACAATGAACGCAATGTAATATGCATGTTGCAATATTATTTGATTTTACTGTGTTTCATAAATAGTTTGAGCTATAATAAATTTGATATTGGACTTTTTCTCATGAGGGCTGAATACTTAGAAAAACAATGTTAAAGAAAAACATGTGTGATGATTTTTTCTAATGAATCACTTTGATAAACTAATCAAAGACAGATAGAATCTATGTATTAAGACATTGTTTGTATCACAAATTGTTATGATACACATTTCTGATTTCTAAATTTTAATATGTTTGAATAAAATATCTATCTGAATTAAAATAATATTTTTTAGTTAAGTTTATTTTCATACATTAAAATAACAAGTATAAGAAACTAAATGTAATGTTTATAACAAATACATAACAGATTCATGAAGATCATGCTTAATATTTTTCATAAAAGTAAATCAAATTATTTTGAAATTTAGAAGAATTTAATTTTTAATGATCTTATATGCATTTTTTGATTATATAAATAAAAGCTTCATATGAATAAAAATGTTGTTAAAAATCAAACTTCCCATCATGATTAAAAAGTGTGTTAAATAGTTATAAATTTATTTATTAAATCTTTCTTTTATTAAAAAATATAGTTATGGATATTGATTATCATTTATAATATTATGCACATATATTTGTATTTAAAAAATTAAAAAATTTGTAAATGAAAATAAATTTTATTATTTTATAATTATTAAAATCAAAATTATATAAATTATTTCAAGTAGCATATTGAAAAATGATTAAAATTATTTTGTAAGTTATTTTTAATCATTTTTCATAAATTTTATAAATATAAAAGAAGAATATAATAATAAAAGCATAATAAATAAAAAAACAAAATTTCATAGTATAAAATACTTAATTAATCTACCTATTGTGAGTAAATTTGATAAAATTAAAATGTGAATTTTGTTTATCCATTTTTGTGATTCATTAATGTGTGATAGAGTCAATCTTTAATAATTATATGAAAGATTGATTTATCAAATTTTAACAAATTTTAACATTCTTATAATTTTCTTTATTTGAGAGAAAAAAGTACACATGCTTTTTGTTCAAATGCACTTAAATAAAATCTTGTATGATCTCATAGTGATATATTAATTAAATTTAAAAATATATTGAGTATGTGTTTCATGATTTCAAATTGAAATTTGTTATGTTCTTTCATGTATGTTAATAATCACAAAAAATTGTGTTCGTAAATAATTATTTTGTTCATCCAGTTGTTTTTACCCATGCATTTTTGCAATTTGTAACTATTTAATTTTTAAAAAAATTTAGGAAAATAATAATAATTATTATTTTAATCATAATACAAGAATAATTGTTTTTCTAACAAAAAAACCAAAAAATAAATTTTATCATAATTTTCAAATTTTTTTAAAACATGTTGATAATCAATATGATTATTGCTCAACAATTTTGTATCTTGTGCATCAGATTTTATATTTTTTTGACAATCATTGTCAAATATGATTACTATTTACTCTAATTGTATTCATTGTAAAATAAATAAATCATTTTTCTTAATTTAAATCACACAATTAAAAAATATTTTATTTTTATCATGATAAATTTTCTTTTTTGTCACAAATATGTCAAAATATGTTTTATTAATTTATATTAGTTTTAAAATTTTGATATTCAACATTTATTTTGATTTAAATATTTATAGTTCAATGTATCATGTAAAAATAGTAGTATATTTATAGTTCAACATATATCATCAAAATATATATGTAAATCAAAATATTTTGATACATAGTTATGTTGATCATATATATATATATATATATATATAAAAGATCATGCATTTTATCTAGCATATAAATGATAAATATAAAAATATTGAAAAAACTCTGCGGGGCTGGCAAAACTCCTGAGTCCCAAATCCCCGGAAATGGCTGAGTTAGCTAAAGCCTTGTTAAGAGAGATGCGAGCCGATAACGAGCTAGTAACCGACATTCGGGACTCGCAGAAAAACTTCCACCTGGCTTTATTTTACTTGATGAGTCTCCATCGTAACACATCACGTATTGATTACCCTATGAGATCTCATCAAGAGTTCACTTTATACATATTTCATTATTAATCAGTGGTACAAAAGAAGGAGCAAACATGAATGAAAGTAGGCCGCGGATCAAATAAACATTTTATAAAAATAGAAAAAAATTTGTAGTGACTGGTAACATGATTTTAAAAATAAAATTGTAAGAAAAGAAATGAATCATGTTGTGCACCGTCAAAGTATCATGCATGAGTATTGAGAGTTCACTTCCTTAAGTTTAAGACTCAGTAAAGTAAGTTTTGAGTGTGGTGATTTGAATGCTACGTACTCTTAGACAAGTGAACATTATCAAGTTTCAATACTTCTTGCGGCAATGATATTCACCTTAGAACACACAACATTTCAAAATCTGCAACTCTTGCAACCTTTAATTGCATTGAAAAAAATGTCTTTTCGATCAAGTGCATTCTCTCATACTCCTTTACTGTTCGATTCTCCTCATGCACTATCGATTAATAGTAGATAATGGGTTATATATACTTGTAAGTTATTTGTGTTACAATGAAGTCTCATGAAATATATATTTTTTTAATAATTAAAAATAATTAATCAAATTAAATAAATGATTTCAATTTAGATAGAATAACATATAATAGATGGAAAGTTTATGACTTAGTTATATTTTTTAATATTGATATTTATTTGTATCACGTGCATGTTTCTTAAAATACAAATAAAAATATAATTATATATTTTAATTATTTAAAAAATGTTACAAATATTACACTGGTAAATTTTGATTTTTTTTAAAATTTTTACATTAAATATGTTTAATTATTTTTAAATATTTTTTTGCATATTTTTTTATTATGATTTGATGAAAATTTACATATTCGCGAGGATGAATTATAATTTTGAAGCATAGTACAAAAAATTCAAAGAATAGAAAACTCAAATTTGAAAAAATATGTAACTTTTAAATATATATTTAAAAAATTATATTAGATAACAAATAAAAATTTTACTACTATTCAATATTTATTATATAATTTTTAATAAAATATTTGATGAGTTTGAATGAAAAAGTAATAAAATTTTTTACATTCTAATATTTTGCAATTTATATATATAAATTTTTGAATAATAATAATACGTCTTTTCATGTGAAAAATTAACCATTACAGATTATCAAAACATCAAAATTTATAAAATTGAGATTGCAATAAATTTGAATGTTTTTTTCATACTTCTTAAAAATCATAAAACATGGTATGAATGAATCTTTTAATGCTTATACAATGTATTCAAGTTCAGATTTTACATCATTCCAATAAATTGATTGAATAAATTGTTATATTATTAATTGTATGTCATATTTTTAGGTATCATAACTAATGTTCATGCTATTTATTTTGATCCATGAAATTAATTGAAGATATATATATTATAATATGATTGTACGAAAATGAATTAATTTTTTCAAACAATGAAAAACACATTTACGTATATGTTATATCAATTCACATGATTTAAGATTGCATATTTTCATATAATTTGATTCAAAATAATCAATAATTGAATTTTGATAAATTTATTAATTAAAAATTTACATTTTTTTTAAGTAACAAGTTCCAAATGTTTGTGGAATAATTCTAACATTATATAAATTTTAAAATGAATTCTTCTTAAATAAAAATAATATATTCTATCAAATAAATTATTCAATTTGAATATCATATTTCAATTTATTTTCAAATCAATTGAAGTATGATGAAAATATTTTTCATATAAGAAAAATTATACATTATTGCAATATGAATTGAATTTTTTCTTTATTTTGATTCAATATAAATCTCAACTACAAAGCATACATTTGTTTATATGTGTTCTCAAACATCTATGTGTGATTGCATGCTTGAAATAATGATTCTGTAAAATAATAGTTAAGCATGTTCTATTTTATTTCAATTTTTTTTAATTTAGTGATATAATAATTAATAAAAAATGTGAGATTTTTGTATAATGCAAAAATTCTAAATAATTGTTGATCAACTCTTTTTTATTAGACGTTGATATTGGAATGATCTTTTAAGTGATACAAATATTGTGACAGCATTCATCATGTTGAGTTATTGTAAATGTTCAATCAGACATAATGTGGTCAATTAAATACTATATGATTTAAATTTTCTTGATTTTGATAAAAATTGAATTTACTAATTAACTTAAAGTTACATTTTGTAAATTTTTTTTCTAAACGCCAATTTAAAAATAAATGAATAATTGGAATATCGCTATTACTAATGTAAAAGTTCCAACAATTCCTATGGATCATAAGCTAGCTTATTACAAAAATTAAATAGTTTATGTTTATTAAACTAACTCATAACTTGAGAAATTGTCTGTCAATTGACATTAATCATAAGTATGTATATTCATCTTTCTTTTGAAATAATAATTTTATAGATACATTTATATTGAAATCCTTGATTCGCCGCTCTTCTTAAATTAAGGGTCTTAAATTGGGACCTAGCGGCTCTGACGTGCTATCGAGATAGACTTTCGCAACTACCGATAGATTAGATACTTATTCTCTTGGTTTGGAGAGTGTGCTATAGTTGGTGGCTACAAGCATGAGACCCTTGGATCTGATGACACTGCTACTAGATGGTGAACATGGCTTACCCAGATTCTTGTGATATCTGATTCCTCCAATAATAGCGGAAGGCATTAATGCTCCGGCCCAACACCCTGATGTACTCCTCGAACTCCTTCTAACTTCACGTTGGTTCCAAAGCATCATACCATTGAGTCATCATCACCCCTTCCATCAATAAGTATATCAATTCAGCCCAGTTTATTGCGCCTGCAAAGATGAAGCAGTTAAATCTCTTCAACGTTATGACCCTTTACCGGCTAACAAATAAACATTCGCCCTCTCAATTGTACTAGTTTTCCTTCGTCACTTGATAAGGTCCGGACAAGCAGCTCTTGGGTCCCCATTTAATACGTCAAATCTTATTACTCTCCGTCGGGTAGACTTGTGCGAAGAAAGAAGAACAAGAATAACCATACCTACAGAGTTTGATCTTCATCGTACGGTGCGTGTTTTTTTTAAAAATAATTGCTTACTATCCCCGTACATCAGGGTCAGTGAATTTTTTAAAGTAAACTTCGTTGCTACAGATCCTGTTTTCTTCCTTAACCGATTTCTATTGTCTCCAACCACACAGCTTCTGTAGCAGTTGCTATCTGTCATATACATCTTTGTTTTACCGGACTCTGATTTTATCACTCCCTGTATTTGCTTTCATATGTCTACACTTCGCAGCCAATATAAACAACCTCCACTGCTGGTTTCTGGCGTTAGGGCTGTTTCGCCAATGAAGCAATCACAGACACTTATTCTACGTACTGTGGCGGTTTAAAGAAGAATCTGGAGGAAAGCTGGTGGAAATAAAGGCTCTGAATGTGGAACATTGGTCAGAACGTACTGCGGATATGGGCTTCGGAAGTAGCTTACAATCGGCGGCGACAACATATGCCGGCTTTTTCTGCTGATGCCTTTAGGTTCTCGCTTCCAACTGTCGGAATTTCAGGGATAATGCCGGCAGCATGTGGGAACGGTGTCGGTAGAAACCGAATTCGGCCTCGGGAAGGAGTGCAGATCGAGAAGAGGCGAGACGAGGGGGCTACCGATGCAACCGGCGTCAGCATCCGGTTGGAGCCTCGGCGTAACAGCTGACCCTGCGAAGGGTGGCCGGTTCGGCATCTCGGCCCGGACGTGCAGGTGTCCTGGTGACCTGGCACTTGGCTTTCTTCCGTTTCTCGTCTGCCGCTGACGGTACTCTCGTTCCTTTCGTACATGGCCGGGGAGAGTTGGTTGGCCTTCTTCGAGGACAGGACAGGACAGGAAAGGCAAGGGAAGGGAAGGGAACAGGACCGGAAGGGAAGGCGAGGGAAGGCAAGGGACGGGGGCAGGGCTCAGGGCTTTGGGATTGATTGTTCTTGCCTTCACTCGCTCGCCACTCAGTCGCAGCTCGCACCTCTTTCACTCACCAGTCACATGAAACCTGCCGGTCAATGACAAGAGACGAACGAATTCCGATTCTCAATCGCACTGCAAGAGCATCATGATTCATGACATGCAATCGACCCGGTTACAGACTTCGCGTTCGCGTTGCTAGAAAAGTAATTTAAAGCCGAAACGCCACATTCGCCCCAGGCACCATCTCGGTTGCAATTGGCTCGCGAGGAATGGCAATGAAACCCGCCTCGATTTTTGGCTCTTGGAATTCGGGTGATGCCTCTGAATAGTCGGGGCGGCGTGATTCATCCAATATTTGTTTGATTCATACGCACAGAAGATACAGGCGAGCAGGAGGAGCAGCAGCAGAGTGTGTGGGCGACAGACAGAACCGGACCACGATCGAAGTTATAAAGCAACAGTTGAGCAGTAGGGGCGAGAGGAGAGGCGGTGTGTGAGGTTTCTCGGGCAGTAGTTTGTGTAGAGGGGTGCTGGAATAGTTGACAGGTGACGTCTGTGTATTATAGTCCGAGATAGAGCGGAGAGACGACAAGTGCAGCACAAGGTGCGAGAACAGAAGCTTGACGATGACATCATCTGCTCTCTGTCAGGAAGACGACGACGTTCGTAAGTAAATGATCGAATGGACGAAGAATCAATCGCTGTCCACGAGCTTTTGAGTCGAATTTTTGCTGGCGTGGGTCGGTGGGTGGGCGGGCAGGAGGGCAATTCGACGGTGATGTGAGGCGCTGCATGATTTTCCTCGATAGGGAGAAGAAAGAGAACTTGCTTGGCCATCTGGTGAGTGCTGCGATGGCAGAAAGTCCGTAATTGAGGGCGAACCATGCTGGTAAATCTTGCGCAGTCTGCCGGTCAAGGAGGATCTCGCTGCTGGCCTGTGTCGTCGATTTAATCTCTTGTGCTGTGGCATGAGGAGTGGCTACATGCACCTCGCGTTGGGAGGAAGGATTCTGCATGTGAGGCTCCTCAATCCATTATGTTAATTTAACATCACCGTGTGATCGCCTCGAACCGCATCGACACAATTTGAGTATCTGGCGATCCGTAACACCACCCAATATCCCATCACATGGGATATTGCTAAACCTCTTGGAAATCTAGGGAGCTGCGCGCGAGAAGCAAGCGAAGCGAACAGCATCTACTATTTAAGTGAACGCCGAGTCGATAAGTTTGTCTCGAGCATTATTTGAAGACGAAATGGATTTCATGGAGCACAGGTTGCTGGACAGGAAAGCGGCGAGCGTTGGCTCTGGTATGGGCAGCCGAGAATCCTTAGCCGAAAAGCCGTGCCCGCACTCCTTCAACATCGAATTTCGGAGCACGATCTCTCTGTGTGTAGGAATTCTCTTCGTGTCCATTTTCGTCTTCTGCACTCTGGATCCCGGCAAAGTCCTGGAGCAACAGACGGGTCGGAACCCCAACATCGGACTGCGCTTCGCGCCGAGCTTCTCGTTCGGGTCCAGGTTCCTGCAGAGCAAATCTGTCGAGCCCACATTGCCAGCGGCGGATGGCTCGCTGGAGCCTGCGATGCAGGGCATGGGAACTCTGTTCAGGAAAGGTAGCCAGGACATGAGCGAGCTCATCGTTGCGCATGCCAGCGAGAACATGAGCTCCACGGACTTCCGGTTGTTTCTTAGAACCTTGCACCGCAGCGGAGCGACGGCCAAGGCCGATGTGATTCTGCTCTATGACTGTCTCTCGGCTCGGATGATGGGCATTATGCAGGAGGAAGAGATGAGCTTTCAGAGACTGTTGGCCGAGAGCGAAGGACTGATAGGATTGGCAGCAGGAGCTGCCGCAGAGCCTGCGAATTCGTCGGTTGGGGCGTTCAACATCGGCGCATTTTGGAAACCTGACGACAGATCGCCGCGGGAAGTGGTGTCCATGATCGAAGAGAGCGACAACGCCACTCTGCCTCGATGGGGCTCGATGATCGGCTTCGAAATGCAGGAGCTCGACCCGGACAACGCTCTCAAAGGATTTCTGGACATGCCATCAATGCAGTTGCGCCGATGGCTGGGCTATCAGATGCTGCTGGGAGTGGTGAAGGCGAAATACAAGCATGTGATGCTGACGGAGATAGAAGGCGTGATGATAATCGGCGACGCTCTGTCTGCCGTGAGGCGGAAACAACACATTTATCTGTCGACGGAGGATCGGCTATGGAGCGACGTGGAAAAGGTCGAGAAGGCAGGTACCGGCAATGTCAGAAGTCGGAAAATTTTGCTCGAGGTCGAGGATAGCGACGACAATGCGCAGGAGGACGTCCAAGATTCCGCAGCACGTGGTGCTGCTGCGGCTGCGGAGGCCAACAATGCAAAAGGCGGCAAGAAGGTGGAGGCAGTAGAGTCCGGAGGCGGAGTAGGAGCTCAGAAAGAAACAGGGGACAAGAAATTAATGCCAGAAGACTTGGGCAAGAGGAAGGTAAAGAAGCCAGAGGCCAGGCGGAAGAATTCGAGGAGGGGACGAGGGTCGCGAGGCGGGCAGCCGCTGCAGGAGAAGGCCAAAGGTTTAATTGAGACCATTTATGGAAGGGATGTCTGGAATTCTCTAGAAAAATTCGAAAAGTCGAGGAATGTCGTCAGCAGCGGAGTGATTATTGGGGAGGTGAAATTGATGAGACCGCTGGCGAACAAAATGGCCACGGAAATCGTCAGGGTCGCTTTGGAAAGGCAGGATCGGCAGCCTTTCCACGACAAGGCCATTCTGAACTACCTCGTCTGCAAGTCGTCTGTGCTCGGCCGGAGGACGCTGGATCGCTTACGGCTCGTGGGCAACAAGGACTCCGTTGTGCACTCGTTGCGAGGCACCAAGCAGAAGAACGTTTTCTGGAGAGGCAAAACTGTGAGGTATTCCGTCGTGCATGGCTACAGAGACGAGATTCACGAGAAGGGCACCGCCGACAGCCTGCAAAGAGCCGTCCAAAGTGACATTTGTAAGTCGAGCTTTTCCAGTGTGTACGTGGACTGCACACCGGATTCCAACGAGACGAGGAGTAGCTTGTGAAGTAGTCAGTGTTGCTATCGTACAATTAGACAGCGGTTCAGCGTAGGAGTGTCTAGAAGCACAACAAGGTACATAGATCAATTGATGACGGTGGTGGTAGCGGCCGAGCAAGTCTGTGCTCTGTCAAGCTGTGAATGCGCACCGGAGGCATCACATCGGGCTCCTTCTGCCCTCGTGCCTCCACTCTTAAACTCCCACTTCATTCTGAATGCCGGGAAAAAACGTCACGATTAATTCAACTTTAGTGAAATTTTTTTATTCTTGTACGAGAAACGTAAAATCAGTCTTCTCATCGATTTGATTCATGTTTCTACTTGTATACGAAAGCAGGTAGTATTGGTCGACCATTATGAGCTGAAAGTAAGACAAAGCGGTCTTTGACGACTATGATTTTGTGACTACTATGACGTGACGAGGTGGAAGGTTGCTTCATTCTTCCCATCCTCATGTTCACTTATAAAGTTCCTATGGACGAAAAGATTGGAGAGCACAAGAGCAATATCAGATTTCTCGTTGCTTTATTATGAGTAGGATGTCTCACTTGCACTTGGGCAATCAAGTGCCCGATTATTTCTGTGAAGTATCCACATGAATTGGTAGAGATGTAAGCGGCAAGCTTGTTACGCTTTTGATTAGATCCAATCGAGAGAATAACATTAGGATACGAGGAGAACTTATCTACTCATGAAGAGGCGAAGTGCCTACCAAATTGCAACCTACTTAATGCAGTGGAAGGCGAAGTGTCAGTGTGGGAAGTACTTTTTGACCGACGGACTTCGCCCTACTACAGACTAGAAGTAGAAGGCGCGGCAGGAGTACAATCGGCACCGGTGACTGGGTGGAGGATGATTGCAACGACACGATTGGAGTAGCTGGAGCTGCATCGACGACAATTATTTAGATATCACCTTAAGTACATCGAACTGAGCTCGTTGTCAACGCTGAAGCCTACCCAGGACTTGGAAGGGGCCTTCCCATACCTTTGGCTAGAGTACTTATCTCCATATCGAGGACTAATCGCGTTAAGCTCGCGTCGTCTTTGTAAGTTGCGGCGCACAAATTGTGGCCCGGAGCTCCGTACGAGCCTGGGTATGAAGTCGAAGGATCCTCATGCAGTACGTAGCATCTCGAGTCAAGGCAGACGTTTGTGTTGATGAATCTCATGATAGCCTGTCGTACGCAGGGGTTCGGGTAGATCAGAAAACTTTCTCTTTGGATGATATGCAAGAGAAGCGAAAGTGGCCTTCAGATCCTGGCCCTGGTCACTCTGCAGCGCACGATACAAACAATGGTCTTCTGTCGGTCACTTTGAACCTCGTTCGTCTTTGTCCACTTCTTTGACGCGACCTTGACATGTTTGACTTCTATCCCTCTGCCGATTAGGCACCCGAATGAGCCAAAGCACCCTTTGATCATAATGCTTTCCCATCTTGAACAAGGACTCGTCGTCCTCGACATCGAATCAGTTCGGAACACGGTGAATTAAGGAGGAAGTGGGTACCGAATATCTTGCTCAATCCTGCTCAATCAAGTGGGTACTGAATATCTGGATGTGCAGTGAATCACCTGCAATCTACGTTCCCTTCTCTTATTGCACGCTCTGAGGGCTGAGATCCCATCGACGCGTTTCTGAACTCATATCCTGGCCTCTGTCTACCTGATTGCACGTGCTGCATCCCACCAAGACTCGCAGAGATCAGCCGTGAAGCTTCTTCTTGTCTCCAGGTTTGGGGATGCGGAAAGTTCGTCTACCCAGTGGAGGATAAATCTCCCTTGAGAGTCGAGAGGCCCACAGGATTTACCTCGGACAAGAATAGAAGTTGCTCGCCGGATACTCGGGCCAGCACGTTGGCATAGCATGCGAATCGCGGTCTTCCGGAGGCCACTATCAAAACAGGAGTGCGATGCACTCGAAGAAAGACTATCTGAGGAGGACACATGCACGGCCGGAGGACGGACTTCCGAGAAGCACGTCGTATTATTGCAGTTTCCTCTCTGTCACAGATGGTGGCTGCCAAACGGGCTCCATTATAGCTTCCATTTCAAAGCCATTGTACCCGACTGTTGTGGAGGTTTCCCTGTTCCCTTCTTTCTCAGGGTGCCACACTCGAGAGCTCCGTTCGTATCCACTGGGATTTTGTTCCTTTTCATCTGAATTACGGAAGTCACGCGAGCATTTACCACTGTACTTGTTCTGGACGTAATAACTTTGTCGACGAGACAAAGAGTCATTCTTACGCCGGTTGCACCGCTTTACAACCAGGAGAAATTCCCACCGCTCTTTCCGTCGTGTACATCACTGAGTTGACGAGGAAAAAGAGCAGAGCCCAACAGCTCGGCGGCTCACATGTCGTTGCAACCGCAAGCCTTCGTCGAGTGAAGCACTACCAAAGGTGTAGCAATCGGTCGATTGCGAGCCATCCAGCTCGGAAGCTCTGATCAAAGCGAGAGAAGCCTCAGCAAGGCGACATGATCGACACAAGTCCTCCGCAGATTTTCTTGTCTTTCGGATCACTCGCTCGCTCGGAGTGTGTGTGTGTGTGTGTCAGCCATCAGCTCAGAGACGGCTGCTGCCGCAGTGCCGGCAATCGTTGTAGTGAAGGCCGCCAGCCAGGGCCCAGGTGGGAGGCGGAATAGGATTCGTGCTGCTGCTCCTGCCGATCGTGATCTAGACTGTTGTTCGCAAGAAATTGCGCAGCCCAACTCTCTCCGCATGATCGCCAGTGCAACAGCGTGGAGGCCATACCACATCGTGATCAGATGTACCGTCTCATTATTTACACGTCGGGAAAGTTGCCCGCGACTCCGTTCGGCGGGGCAGCCTGGGCCCTCACTCCTGGGACCGACCGAGAGACAGACTATTTTTAGAACAGGGAATTGGATAGATGGACCGATGATTGGGATCATTGATTGGGATCGCTCCTCCACCCTTTCCGGTCGACGCTGCGCTGTGACGGGCTGCCTCAAGTTCTCCTACAAGGGTGAGTATTCGCGACCGTCACAGAACCCTGCAACAGCCCGGTATTGCCCGCTCGGAGCGGACGTACCTTTCCTACGGAACTCCTTACTCGACTGCAACTGTAGTTGCAGCTGTCGACGTCCACAGTAGAGGCGAAGCTCTTAGCTTCGGGAGTCACTGGATGAGCTTCGGGACCGTTGAAGGAGCAGATGCTGCCGGTTTGCGTCTCTGTGGACCGTCACCAGAGCTTTGGCCATTCGTTGCCCATGCTTTACGATGACTTTCGACATGGGTTGTTGCGAATCCTCTCAGACAAATGTTCCGGATGAAGTGGTGCCAAGTGGACAACTGAAAAATGCGAATATACCATCGACCTGAAAGCATAGGCAACTAGTGGCTACCGATTATCGCATCACAAAGTAAAAATGTCACACAAGTATGACATCTGATTTATCCAGAACTTGCTCGTGCTGTTCTGCTGAAGTTGCATAATCTACCATGATGAACAACTTGCTTTTCAGTATGAAAATTTTTAAACTACTTGCTCCGTACTACTGCAAAGAAATTGATATCCAGGTCGTATAGTATGTCAGGTTGTCACGTCCTCATTATTATATCAAATAATCCTCATTATTATATCAAATAATCCGTTTCGAATTACTCCAAAGATGAAGGATAAAAAGTTGGTTTTTTTTCATAAGCCCATGCTGTCGGATTTTGAGTATTTTCGAGAAATAAACAATATATCCTTGAAAACTCAATACCCATTAGCCAACTATTTATCTGTTTAATCTTAGTTCGCTGCCATACTCACATCCGTGTAGGAATTCCACCTTCACGCGCTATGACAAACATTGAACTATGTCTACGTCATTTTCTGCTTGTCTATGGGTTTAATTGTCTATCTATTGTTGATACAACATGATTCAAAAAAACAATAAAAAAATAGTTACTGGTAAAAACTGATTTTAAAATAACACTATAATGTGATTAAAACTAGTGATAAAATAATATCAAAAAATAATATATAATATATTGATACAAACGGATGTGAAATAAAAATAATAAACTTGTGATAACTGAATCAAAGTGATGATCGATGCTTATAAAATGTGATAAAAATATTGATATTAAAAAACTAGTACAAAGTGATCCAAAATAATGCATTTTTAAAAAATAGACAAATAATTGTGACGACAAGTGATATGAAAAAAAAAAGCTGGATTTAACAAAAAATTAAACTATCTAGCAAGTTTGAATAATTATTAAGAGTTATTTTTTCATAAAAATGAAAAATTAATCTTCTAAAAAATTAAATTAATTTAATTTTTTACAAAGGTAAAATCACCATTTGAAGTCAGTTGGACAATTAAAACTTAAGTTTGGTTAGAGTCTAGATTTTTGACTTGCTTGAATTAATCTTAAGTGCAGATTGATTGCAAAAATTTTATTAATTTTTTTTTGTAATTTTGCAACTGAATTTTCGGAGTTTGCAAGTAAAATCTGAAGCTCAAGAGATGTTTATTCTTAGAAAAATCAAGGAATCTAAAAAATTTTATTTATTTTTTTAAAAAACTTACAAGTTAAAATTTTTTGACATTCAAATATCTATTGGGTGATAATTTAGTGCAAACCAATACTTTCATAAGAGATTGCAATACATCATAAAAGAGCTAATACGAGAGTTATAACCTTAATTGTTAAAGCAACTATTTTCGATAGAACTTGATGAAGTTAAAGTTTGAATGTGAATATATATTCATGTACAATTTAATAATTTAAAAAAAAACTGATTGAAAGTTTTGATGGGTCTTATACTACATCAAGTAAACAAATATTTATTAAAAGATCTAAAGCATATGTCATTTAGAATTATGATCAGCTTTTTATATAATGACGAGGTAACTGGACTTATTAATGATGATTAACCTAGATTTTATTAATCAAAATTTTATGTAGATCAAATTTTTTTTTACATGATTCATGCTTTGATTGATGTTAATTTCAGAAATAGATTGATTATTTTAATTCTTTCATATCGTAATCTAACATGAATATATCCAGAAACTATAATAAAGTTATAGCCAATACATTATAGATGCAATCATATAATTGATGATATGTAGGTTCAAATTAATTATAGCTAGGTTAATCACAGTCAAATTAGCTTGTCATTATATAACAGAGTTGATTTTAGCTTTATACATTATAAATTTAGATTTTTTATTAAAATATCTGTGAATAAATTTTTTCGGCATAGTGAGATGAATAACGTATTTTTCTTCGATCATGGTGCAATTTTTATTTGGATTTTGGATTTTTGCATTATATACAGAAATATCTCATTTTTTTATCTTGGAAAAATAGATAAAGATTATCAATGCAATTAAAAAAATATTTGTTGCAAATCATGAAGATTATAATAAACTAATGCAACAAAAAAATTGATTTGATAATTTTTTTTGGAGTTTTAATGAAATTAGAAAAGTGCTTAGACCAAAGATTGATCTGATGTGAGAATATGAATAGGTTGATATGCAAGGGATTAATTTTAACAAAATTGTATTAGGTTTACATAAAACTTAGTTTATACAACTTCAGCGGAAGTATCACCAAAGAAGTTGTCAAACAGTGCTATACATCTTTGAAACTGATAATTTTTAAGATGAAGTACATTGAAACAAAAATAACAAGTTTATAATGCTTTTAATAAAATTATTAGTTACACTGAGAGAATGTTTTTTCACTTGTTGAATTTACATCATACAATATACCAATCTTTATCCCAAACCTAAAGTCTCTTTTTACATATAAGATGAAAAATTAGTTTCAATTAGATATCTAACAGAATCAATTACTTTTCGTGATGCTATCGGGTATAGCCATCTTACCCATTTAATCTTATCCCGGTAGGCCGTTATGATTCTTCCCATTACTGCTGCTATATTTTTTATGCACCCATTACTTTTGGAGACCATATTTTTTAAATCTCAATCTGTTTCTCGGAATGTTTGGAAACTGCTTCATGGATATTCCAGTCGAGGTTTATTTATCC